CCCCTCCTGTCTCCCTCCCCTTCCTCTTCCTCCTCCTCCTCCCCCTCCTCCTCTTCCTCTTCCTCTTCCTCCTCCTTCTTCTTGTTTTGGTAACTCAATTGAGTGGCTTTCAAGTGTGAACCTTGTTCACGGACCGTGTCTTGCTGCAATGCCAAAAGGTTAGACATGCCCCAGAGGCCTAGCATTTAGTAAGTTTTCAACAATAGCCGTTATCATTATTGCTATTACCCTCTGCAAAAAGGAGTTCCTGACCATAGCCATTGCATTCGTCAGGTCCTACCCAGGTACACTGGTGAGGCTTGTGCTTTTATACATTCTCATTCTCATTCTCCTTCCTCAGGCTGAAAAGGATATTGCTGACATAAGAACTCTAGTAAGAACTCCCTATTATGCTGCTATCTTACCAGTTACTTATTTTGGCCTCTTGTGTAGTTAGAACTGGACTAAAACCTCTTACAGACAGGCATTACAGCCTTTTAGAAGGGAAATCATTCTCCAATTAGTATTAATGATCAGATCACGTGATTTGATAACCTTTGATTCTAGGGGTATTAAACCTTTTAGAAGGTTAATTCATATTTATTTTCAAACAATTTTGTTTTAGTTTTAGAGGGTGTACAGGCTCCCAAATCCTAGACTTTCCTGATGCCAGGTTAATGGCTGCCTTATCCTGTAGAAAATATATTGAGTAGCAGTGTATTTTGGCCGGAAATGTCTTAGACATGGTGGTTTCTAAGAGATGGTAATAGATTTCTAAGGTTTCCTAAATTTGATTGAGAAAGTTTTTAAAATTTTTTTTATCTGCTGGCCTATTCTGACAGGGTCAGGGAAGGGTAAAGCTTCTCTCACATTAAGTGTAGTTTCAGGGACCCACTCGCAAGTCTGTCTCATCGACTCTTCTATTTAAACGTGGTCCATGGCACTCATCTCTGTTTTTGCATTTCCTTGGCTGCATGAGCAAAGTAAAACCAGACTCCTAGTGTGAGGGGAGTTCCAGGGTTCCCCACGCGGCATCACTTGGAAGTGAGAATTCTAGCTCTTGTGTCTTCCATTGCCACAAGACCAACTTCCTGTTTTCCAGGTCCCCCCTTTGGTTCGGAAGATATACCTTGTTACAGCTGTGTCTGTGATTCCCAGGGAACTCAGATGGGAAATTGGGTGCTAAACAAGGTAGCCATAAGGATTAAACTCCTGTCTCTCCATTTCAGAAAACTCTATTGGTTGGATACTATCCTGGACTGTCTGTTTGTCTCTGACCTTGATGGTCAACACCGCCGCATGCTAGCCCAGCACTGTATGGATTCGAATAACACCTTCTGCTTCGATCATCCCAGAGGCATTGTCCTTCATCCTCAAAACGGGTATCGTCTCTCTGATGTTGGGCCATTTCCTTCATGTCTTTATTCTACATCTGTCACCAAAAAAGGCACATAGCTGTTTTAGGGCTAGCATCTTGCTGGTATCTATCCTCTGCTTTTCCTACCTGGTCAATGGGTTAACATAAAGGGCAGAAACATGACTTGTTCAAATGATATTCATCAGCTAGCCTCTTGTCTTTGCTGTGACCTATCTTTTTACCTTTTGGAGTCAAATATTTTGGCTGCATGCAAGGAAAATGGTAAAATATTTCCTCAGTGGACTCCTCATGTCAAAGCCACTGAAATCCGCAATCATGTTTATTCTTGGACCGCCTGTGCATTATTCTGTCTTTCTTCTTGTAGATATTGTCATAGCTATCTTTCCTTTCTGAGAGGCTCCATGGGGTGTGGACTCCATTTTTATAAATGGAGAAAAACTATATCTTTTGGCTTCAGGGGATGACCTTCTTTGTTTGTTCCCACAGGCATGTCTACTGGGCAGACTGGGGTGATCACTCATACATTGGAAGAGTTGGAATGGATGGAGCCAATAAGTCTGTGATTATCTCTACCAAGATAGAATGGCCCAATGCTATCACCATTGATTACACCAATGATCTCCTGTACTGGGCAGATGCTCACCTGGGTTACATTGAGTATGTACTTTGAAACATCAGGGTGTGCTTCCAGTGTATTCATTGTGCTTGCATCTTCTAACTGCTCCCTGTATTGGAAATCACTCTGAGCTCACTTCTGTTTTGTAAGACAGGATCTTGTGTAGTGTGTAGCCCATCCTCCAATTCTCTAAGGTAGTCAAAAGGTGGCTTTGAAGGTCTGCTCTTCCTGTCTTTACTCACCTCCCAAGTGCTGGAATTACAGGTGTAAGCTATCATGCCTGGCCTATGTAGTGCTAAGTAATGAATAGGGCTTCATGTATGCTAGGCAAGCACTCTACCAACTGAGCTATATCTTCAGTCTAAGTGGAACTCTATAGAGCACAGAGCTCTATAGAAATAAATAGAGGGAGAGTGAACCTTGAAGTCGTATTGATTAGGGTTTATGGCTTGGTACTTTTGCTTATTTTTTACCATCTAGAAAATAGACTAGGGGACTGGAAAGATGGCTCTCCAGTTAAGAGGGTGTTCTGCTCCCAGGAACCTTGTTGGGTGGCTTACAATCACCTATAACTACAGCTCCTGAGAAGTGAGGCTACTAGTCTCTTCTATGGCAGTCAGCTCAGTGCTCAGCCTTTTAAATTCCCTATTCCTTTACCTTGTTTTCCCACCCAAATCGATAATAAACAGATTTCAGTAGGATTTTGAAGAAAGGAAAAGAACAAGGATATTGGAAAGATTTTCCCCAAAATGCTCTGGTGCATTTGTTGAAGTATGAAGAATTATTTTATGTAGCAGTACTGTCTTAAAATTTATTTCAATATGATAAGGCATTGGAATGTTAACACAAGATTTTTTTTTTCTCCAGAGCTGGAGATTGAACCCCAGATCTCTATATACTAGATAAATACAGAGTTCTTTAAAAAAGTGTGCTAAATACTATACTACTCAATTAAAAGTTCTTATTAAAAAGCTATATTATAAGCTGGGTGTGGTGACACATGCCTTAATCCCAGAGACAGGTGGATATCTGTGAGTTCCAGCCCAGCCTGGTCTACATAGCAAGTTCCAGGGCAGCCAGAGCTATATTAGTAACCAGGCAGTCCATGCTCATTTGGAGACACTGCTAGTTATGGTCTATATGGAACATAGTGAGATCTTCGTGATGGCATGCTACACTTAAAATCTTGGAAGTGCATTAATTTAGAAGAGGCAGTTCAAAGGCCTTGGTTTGGTCACCTGGTGACGCAAAAATGACCTGGGTGTCATTTACCCATACCCTTCTCAACAAAGGGAAAGTGAGTCTTATTTGGGGATTTTTTTTTGAGGGGGGAAGTTGGTTGAGGTAGGATTTTGCTATGTTTCAAGGCTGACTGGAACTTGCTATGTAGTTTAAGCTGGCCTCGAACTTAAATACTCCTGCCGCCGCAGTGCTGGGCCACAAGCATGTATCACCATACCCAGCTAGATATTTCCAACACAGCATAGCTAACATGTTTCTTAGCTTATTCTATTTCCTGTTTGAATTTTAAGATCAGTTCCAAAATTTTGAAATATAAAAATATCAGTATTTTAGAAATGACTTTTCACATAGTCTCATAGTAATGCATGAGACATTGCAACTAATAGAACTTGGAAATATGCTTATGGGTACTCTGGGTCATCTTGAAATCAGGGAATCTTCTCTAGAAGTTTATTCATCTGCAAAAATATTCATTCATTGCACTTGTTGTGGGATTAATAATAAATGTTCTGCTGGCATATGCAAAGTTAACCCTGCAGGCTTATGAGCAGAGCTCCTTGCCTCTGCCTCTCAAGGGCTAGGATTACAAGGATGTACCACCATGGTTAGAGAAATATAGCTCAGAATTCACTGACAGTCTTGTTGTTGCCTAGAAGCTTCTTTCCTAGGATGTTCAGAAGATGGAATTCCAACTTTAGTTCACTTCCCTCATGTCTTCTTCCGGTGATCTAAGAAGCAAAAATGATCTTCACCATGGGAAATCAAAAGGGTGCTTGATAGAGAGCCCAACCTCTAACAGCCATAGCACAGCAGCAGTGGCTGGGAATTGGTGATTCTGCCAATTTCTGTGGCTATTCCTATTTTTTGGCATTGATTCTAGGCTTTTACATCATTTGTTCAACTTAGCTTTTGCTTTCATTAGAGACTAAGAGGGACAGAGTTTTGTTAACTGGGTTAGTTTACTTATCTGAAGGACAATAGAGGAGAGTGGTTGTCCTCACTGACTGTCTTCCTGCTGCCAGGTACTCTGATTTGGAAGGCCAGCATCGACACACAGTGTATGATGGGATACTGCCTCACCCCTTCGCTATTACCATTTTTGAAGATACTATTTTTTGGACAGATTGGAATACAAGGACAATTGAAAAGGGAAACAAATATGATGGGTCCAATAGGGAGGTGTTGGTGAACACAACACACAGACCCTTTGACATCCATGTGTACCATCCGTACAGGCAGCCTATTGGTGAGTAGGTGATTGTGGACTTTGGTATAGTTACTTTAGGGTATCTGTTATGTTTTACAAGAAGCTCACTGATGCTTGTTAGTGATTTCTTTAACATTGCTGAGAATCAAAAGGAGCTTGTTTCGCTACCCTTTATGTGCTAGATAAGCACTCTGCCAATGGGCCGCATCTCCATCCCTTAGTTTTTTTTTATTGTAGCTCAGGCTGGCCTTGAACTAATGATCCTCTTGCCTCTGCTTCCCAAGTGTAAGGATTATAGGCATGTCCCTGTCATTTTCCCATAATTACTTAATCTATTTTGGTAGGAGAACTGATGTATTTTTTTTTCTGGTCTTTTTGAGACAGGGTCTCCCAGTAGCCCCAGCTGGCCTGGAACTAACTATGTAGACCAGGCTGGCCTTGAACTCACAGAGATCTGCCTGTCTCCACTGGGATTAAAGGTGTGTACCACCATGCCCAGCTGACATTGTATTTTTTAATCAACTAATCCTATTCCTGTATTCTAGAAGATACTACTGGCCAGAAAAGCATGCCTTAGTGTCTTATAAGCTAGAGAATTTGTTTTTCTTTGTGGGTCTATATTTTTCTTCACAAGATTAAAGCTAATGTTTTAGAAATAATCTGGCAGAGATTTGGAGTGTAATTTGGGGATGGACTGGCTTTGCTGGGCCTGTTTTCTTTTGCTAAAAACATATAACAGACTAAACTAAGGAAAAATGGGACTTGGCAAGATAATTGAGCATTAACATGAGCATTAACATTGAGCATTAACATTATTCATATGGTCTTATTGGAAGCTCAAGTTAATCTTTATCTCCAGTGATGACTGAGAAACTTAAGATACTGTTCAGTGTATCCATGCATGTTTCTGGTGGCCAAATTTCTGTTTCCTAAATCATTAGGATGAGGGAGAATTGATAGTGTCTGCTAGAAATTTAACTCATACTTGGGATGTAGCAAATGCAAGCTAAGTTTCCTGAGTACTCTCCCAGGACTTCAAGAAACATCAAAAGTACCATTTGTCCTATTAAACTTTAGGCAGAGGATAAAACTAGTGTTATGATTTTCTTTTTGCCAAAAGGTGATTTATTCAGTGTCAAGCTGTGCATCCAGCTAATCTGTATTTGACACCCAGAGCACAAGCCTATGCTTTCTTCCCTTTTCTGTATGTAGTGAACAATCCCTGTGGTACCAACAATGGTGGCTGTTCTCATCTGTGCCTCATCAAAGCAGGGGGGAGAGGATTTACCTGTGAGTGTCCTGATGACTTCCAGACCATTCGGATGAGAGACAGAACACTTTGCATGCCCATGTGCTCCAGCACCCAGTTCCTGTGTGGTAACAATGAAAAGTAAGGCACCATTCCCCTCCCTCATGCCTCATCTCCCATCCCCCTGCCCCCATATATTGAACTTAGAGGCAACAGATGTAGGGGCTTTCTTTTTTCCATTTCCTTTCAGGTATTTTCTTAGTGGGTAACTCAGACTGGCCCAGAACTCATTATGAAATCCACGCTGGCCTCTAACTCACAGCAATCCTCCTGTTTCAGCCTCCTCAGTGCTAGGATTATAGGTATGAGTTTTCTGTGAATGGAAAGTTTGGTTATTTAGTTTGGCTGATGTGGTGCCCACTCAGTCTCTCAGTCTCCAACTGTCAGCTATATGCCTTCCTAGAGTGAAATGAACTTATAATGAAAGTGACAATGCCTACGCAAATTTCCTTAAAGAAGGAGAAACAGTTCCTGATTTTGAATATATTACCCTGAGGATAGCATTTAAGAGGGATATATTGGGGCTGGAGAGATGGCTCAGCAGTTAAGAGCACTGGCTGCTTTTGTGGGTTTGATTCCCAGCACCCACATGGTGGCTAATAACCATCCGTAATTCCAGTTTTAGGGGATCTAATGCCCTCTTTTGACATGGGTGCACTTAACATGCAGGCAGTACACTCATACGCATAAAATAAAAATAACAAGACATTTTCAAAAAGAGATATATTATCTTATCTTACCAATTATCATATTTTTGTACTGGAAGTCTAAGTCTCCATCTCCATGTGGTTACCTAAAAACTTACTAAAGGCACTGCTCAGTGTCTCAGTCCATTAGCAGCAACAGTTCTTTTGCCTCTCTTTCCCACATCCATATGGCAGCTCGTTAGTTACCTGTGTTAGGGCTTCAAGAATTATTTGTTCATATTCACTTGTGAACATCTGTGTTAGCTCTGAAATGTGACTACAGATTATTTCTGTATCAATGGTCGCAGGCCATGATCGCTAAAGAAGCTGAATCCAGAGTCAGGGGGAAAGCAGCATCAATGCAGAACCTCAAATTTGAGATGAATATTATTCTGGAGATTAAAGAAAATGGAGATTAATAATCTAGAAAATAAATATTTTGATGAACATACATGGTATTAGATAGCATGGCATGTTGAACGAAGTATGTAGCAGGTCTCCTTCCTCCTCCCCTCCCCGTCCCTTTCTCCTCTGAGTCCCAGGTGTGTAGCCTCTCCCTTACCAGTCTCTTTTCTTCCTTCATGACACGTGTTCTTCCCCCCATCTTTCCTTGTAATTTTCCTGAAAGTTTCATATTTTCATTTTTCTGTGTAGCTGAATAAAATTCTATTTTGTTTATATGCCACATTTTCCTTATCCATTCAGCTACCAATGGGCAGCTAGGCTAGGTCCATTTCCTTGCTCTCATGAATAGAGCAGCAAGAAATATGGATGTACAAGTATCTCTGTAGCGATATGTGGAGCTGTGTGGGTATATGCCCAGGAGTGGAATGACTAGGTCATATGGGAGTTCTGGTCTTAAATTTTTGCCATACTGCTTTCCATAATGGTAATACTACTGTACTTCTACCAGAAGTAAACAAGGATTCCTCTTTGCCTTCATCCTCACCAGCATTTTTGTTAGATTTTTTTTTGATGATAGCCATTCTGACTGGGTTGAGGTGGTATCTCAAAGTAGTTTTAATTTCATTTCATTAAATCCATTTGCTGGTTGGTAGTTTTGCTTTTAGGGTGTTTCATTTTTGCAGGTTTTTTTTTTTTTTTTGTAAATTCTGGATAATAGCCCCTGTCTGAAGAATAGCTGGTAAAGATTTTCTGCCATTCTGTGGGCTCTATTTACGGCTTATGATATGACCAATTTTGGAGAAGTTTCCATGTGAGTCTAGCATATATCTGTCATGACATAAGCATTCAACAACCATTAGTGCCTTCCAGTTCTTCAACAAATATGTAAATGTCTTTTATCACCTTGGCAGATGGGCTCCGTCATTTGCTTATATAACCACAGCTCAAGGCTCCCCCGAAGGAATTTCATCATCATAACCAAACTGTATTTTCAGTGTCTATTTAGGGCTCAGCTAATCTATTGTAGCTTACCAAATGACCTTTTCTCTGAAAATGTACCACAGTAACTGAGATTTACTGGATCTTTTCTGGCTTTCACAGAACTCATATATGGCATCCGTTGGGGGCTCAATGTTGATTTCCTCTCTGCAGATAGGTATTGCCCACTCCTCTGGCCCCCAGTGAGTCTCTATAGAAGGGCTTTGATTTCTCTGTGCAGGTGTATTCCCATCTGGTGGAAATGTGATGGACAAAGAGACTGCTCTGACGGCTCCGATGAACCAGACCTGTGCCCACACCGTTTCTGCCGCCTGGGACAGTTCCAGTGCAAAGATGGCAACTGCACCAACCCCCAGGCCTTGTGCAATGTGCACCAGGACTGTGCTGATGGCTCTGATGAAGACCATGCACTCTGTGGTATGTTGGTTTCCTTTCTATCTGCTTTCCCTGCTTTGGCAGTTTGTTATGTACAAAATGGTGGATTGTAGGGTTTCCAACTGGTTCAAAATCCTAGGGGAAAACTTAGGGCCCATCCTGTATCTATTTTTACAGAGTTTTAAAAATTAGGTCTTCTAAAGTCAATCTACAAAGCAAATATTGAAGTTGATGAATTGTCTAAATGAGTGCTTTTTTGCCCTATGAGGCACAGAATCCCTCTGTGAGCTAACATTGAGAAGAAAATGAGGAATTCCCCCTTCCCATTTTAGGCAAAGACTCAATTGCAATATTTATTTTCATTTTTATTATAAAGGAGCCCCCACTACAAACTAAAAAGAGCACAGGAACAGTAACGTTAATGACAAAGTTTGAAGATCATTGTTCAGGAGAAGATGTGTTTAACCATGTAGGGGATTTAATCACTGGTCCTTAATTCTGCATAAAGAAAAAAGGTGCATAAAAACTCAGATTATAAGAATCAAAGAGTAACTCTTCACATAGTGGTAATAGTTAACAATTAGCAAACTAGAATTTCAACCCCAAGTCACACTGTGTGAATTCACTGTGTGAATTAGGAGTGCCCATTCTTGATAGTGCCTTAGCTAGTAACTAAATGCCCTATTTGCAGATCATCACCGGTGTGAAGCCAATGAATGGCAATGTGCCAACAAGCGTTGCATCCCAGAAGCCTGGCAATGTGATTCAGTGAATGATTGCCAGGACAATTCAGATGAAGCCACTTCCCACTGTGCCAGCAGGACCTGCAGACCTGGCCAGTTCAGGTGTAACAATGGTCGCTGTATTCCACTGAGCTGGAAGTGTGATGTAGATAATGATTGTGGAGACTACTCAGATGAGCCCATCCATGAATGCTGTAAGTTTCTGTGGGAGGGACCATGTCTAACCAGAGGAAGTGGATGCGGGAGCCTGTCTGTGGATGGGAGAGGGCACAGAGCCCTCTGCTTCAGCCCCAGGGGATGCTCTCTGTCCATCCTGTGAACTCCAGCACTACAAGATAAAGCATTGCTGAGTGGCTTACATTTATAAACAGACCCTGTTCCCAAAGTGGCCAGTACCTCCTCCTGATACACTGAGGATCTAGTCATGTAGAATATGATAGCAAGGACTTGCATTTTGCATATCTAGAACTTTCTCATTTGAGAAACATTGTGAAGTCATGTGCATGGTCACTTTACTACTTATGACAGAACTAGCACTTTAATTTGGGGTTTTTACTCAAACCAGGTACATGCTCCTTCATCCCCAAACTATATTACAACACTAGTGAATGGTACTGTGTTGACAAGAAAACTTAGGGCTCTATTCTGCTCACAGTAAACACATCTAACAAAGATGCCTGTTGTTAGAGTCAGTTTAGTGAGTACCAGCTCCATGTCCTCAGTATGAAAACCAGGGAGGAGCCTTCAGGTGCCATTTCCAGTAGGACTGAGGCTTCCACCTCTCTCTCTCTTTTTCCTTTTCAGTGACTGCTGCTTACTCCTGTGACAACCACACGGAATTCAGCTGTAAAACAAACTACCGCTGCATCCCACAGTGGGCTGTGTGCAATGGTTTTGATGACTGCAGGGACAACAGTGATGAGCAAGGCTGTGGTAGGAGGGGCTCCAAGGGAGTAGGGGAGGGGCAGGAACCCTCCGTGCCAAGTACTGCTGTGGTAGGAGAGATGAATAGATTTTTCACATCCTTTACCTCTGCAAAAGGATCACCTCTTGATTCTTCTAATGACAGGTTGCATTTTTGTACAAGTTCACAACATTATCCAGGGAATTTAATTCATATCATCTCAAAGGCATATCTGATTTCATTAAGATGTGAGGAACTTGTATAATTTTCCCTAAATGTAGGATCTTTATTTATACTTGACATTTAAATGGCTTGTCTAATCTTATAGATGGATTGAAATTGATAGAAGGGACTATATATTTCCAAAGAGATATTTCTGAATCAGAATGTGTCTTACTTCAGGGTCATCATATTCTGAATGTCATTTTGATGTTTCTAGCCACCCATTGCATAGCTGTAGGCACCTTCTCAACATGGAATGAATTTATGGACAAAAGACTAAATGAATTAGTGGAAATTGTCTAAGTTAGGTATATACTGTCACTTGAAAGTGTCTGCACTTGTGTTTGACTTAGAAGAAAAGTAAGAAAAATAGTGGGTTATTTTAATAGCATCGAGTTTAAACTGCTAATGGAAATGTGATAGAAATGTTCTATTTACTCGTGGTATCATTTTAGCCTTGCACTGTCGATTATAAACCAGATGCCACTTTATTTTTGGAATTGTCTCTATAAAAGGTAACAGACCTGTTTTCAATTGAGAGTATAGGATCAGTTTAGCTTAAAGAGTTGACAAGAATGTTGCCGGCATTCCTCTCTGAGGGCTTTGAGAATATGGAAACACAATTCTCAGATGGTCTCACAAGGAAGCCAATACTGCTTGGGGCATTCTTGACCTTGGCTTATGAAATCTTGACAATGACTGTGCTCTACAGAGTCAAGGCCATGTGATCCTACTGGGGATTTCCGCTGTAAAAATCACCAGTGCATCCCTCTCCGCTGGAAGTGTGATGCCTATGATGACTGTGGAGATAACTCAGATGAGGAAAACTGTGGTGAGTGCTCAGGGCTGGCATGTCTGCTCTGTCTATGATCCACCCCTCTGTGGCATTCAACCACAGAGGGTGGGAGGACAGCTCTTGGTGCCACCTTCTCTGTGGCTTTGGATATACATATTTCCTTCTGAAATGCTTATAAATCAAGCTTTGGCAGAAGGCTATGGAGGAGGTTAGTTAGGAGAATATTTGATCAAGTGTATCTTTGGTCTGTTGAATTTATTTTCTTAACTTTTTTCTAAAATAAATGAGAGTAAGACAAATGACAAATAAAATAAAATACAGGGGGAACTGGAGAGTTGGTTCAGCGGTTAAGAACATTGGCTATTCTTGCAAAGGACCCAGGTTCAAATCCCAGCATCCACATGGCAGCTAACAACTGTCTGTAACTCCAGTTCCAGGGGATCTGATGGCCTCTTCTTTCCTACATGATCATTGCACAACACAGGTGCACTTACATAGATGCAGGCAATACATGCATACACATAAAATAAAGGTAATAAATAAAAAAAATTAAAAATAAAACAGGGAGAATATCAGGAGGAAAGAAAGGTCTGACCCTACTTGTATTTACTGCAGTGGATGACTTTTAGAAGGCTGATTCTAGCTCCCATCTTCTAGTAGAAGATAGGATTACCAGGAATGAGGCTAAGGGAAGGAAGCCATGTGGCTTCACACTAAACTCACTAGTCCATTTTGAGTGACCAGGTGTGTTTGCAAAACAGCCTTGGTAAAGCCCACTTGAGCACCTATCATTGACTTCTGTTGTATTTTCAATTTTAACTTTTTTAAATGAAATACTTTTCAACTTTAGTTACCTTTTGGAAGAAGTGATCAGCATTTTCCAGAGACAGTTGAGAGAATTAGGGTATTGATTAAATCTACAAGTATCAGTAAGCTAAAAACTTACACAAAAGGCAGTTCAATTGGCACTTCCCAAGCTTTGTGGAAGGCTGAGTGAGAAGGATCACAATTCAAGGTCTTCCTAGGTCACACTATGAGTTCAAGGCCAGTCTTGGAGAAAGAAAAAAGGAAAAAAAAAATGGTGAGGGTAGAGCTGAGATAATAGCTCAATGGTAGAATGCTTACTTAGCATGTGTGAGGCCCTAGGTTCAATCCCCAGTACCACCAAACAGCACAAAGTTAATTTTAAAAAAGTTAATATTGAGTCTCATAATAGGTCAAATCACCTTTAGATGAAATTCTTAAAGGCCATTCTTCATGTACTTAAAGTTAAGGTAGAAAGTCCTATGAATAACTTGTCCATGCAGACCTCTAGGGCTGGATCACAGAAGAGAACTGGGTATCCAAGGACCCTGGGCAGCAACCAAGTCTGTGTCCAGGGTGAGATTCTTGGTGCACCCTGATGGCCATGTGGCTTCCCTTTTCAGCTCCTCGGGATTGCACAGAGAGCGAGTTTCGTTGTGCCGATCAGCAATGCATTCCCTCTCGATGGGTCTGTGACCAAGACAATGACTGTGGAGACAACTCGGATGAACTGGATTGTGGTAACTATCAGGGAATATTATAGAAACTTATGCTATGATAGTGTAGGGACTTTGAACTACTGTTGACAAAATTCTTTGCTGTGAAATTATGTATGTGATTTATGTAATATGTAACAGTTCACCTAACAGTATCTTCTGCGATGCATTTTCTTTGCTTTTATTTTCAATCAGTCATGATAGGAGAATGGGAAGGGATTTCTTTAAGTTTCATTTTAATTTAGACATTACTGAGGAGCAGACTTTCATCTACAAACACGTTACTCTTTTAGGTTTGCACAGAAGGCCGCCTTAGTGTAGAGGTCAGAACACTGGGAAGGGAATCCTAGTTCCCAAGTAATTTTTATAGCTTATTCCTGATTAAATGTTGGCCTTCAGAAATATCAGGGAACCTTGAAATTTGGGAAATTTTGATTCCCAATGAAAGACTCAAGAGCTGGGGGATAAGGGTGACATCTCTATTGTGAGTAGAGAAAGTAAGTTTTGAGTTTTTCTGTTCTGCTAACTACAGTTGTAGGCTTGTTGTGAGCCAGGCACAGAGTAGTCATAGGAACTTGATGAAATCTTTATTGTACTCCATGTACATAACTAACACCTGTCTAAAAATGATGAGATCTTATGGGAATGATGATCTTTTCTCTTCAGAGTTGAAGACCTGTCATCCTGAACATTTTCAGTGTTCAAGTGGACACTGTGTGCCCAATGCATTCAAATGTGATGGAAGACCAGACTGCTTTGATGCCTCTGATGAATCTACTTGTCGTAAGCTCCTGCTCATTGTAGTTCTGTGTACTTGGGTGCATGGGTATGGTAATTTAGATACCTCCTTTCTACTTCTTAGATTGGAAAGCCACTAATATATTCTATTTAGCATATTATGATAATTTTCAGTTTTCTTGGGTTCATTATATTTCAATATTTAACAGTAGACTAAGTAAGAGTCCCCAGTTGTTTGCAGTGACTGTTCAAGTACATCTTATTTACAGTATTTTGAATAGAAAACATATTAAGTAGTCCGTGCTAACAAGCTATGTATGATTAAATATTATACAAAACATTAATTGGATAAAAACATTTCAGGTAAAGAAAGCTCAAGCTATGAATTAACTAGTATAAAAAACTTGGGCTGGACTGGGCTGGGTGTGGTAGTGCATACCATTAATTCCAGCATAGGCAGAGGCAGGTGGATCTTTGTGAAGCCAGTTTGGTCTACATAGTGAGTTTCAGGTCAGTTGGGGTTACAGTTCAAACAAACAAATAAATAAACAAACAAAAACAATCAAAAAAACCCCCACAAATAAGCAAACAAAACTTAAGCTGGGAATATACAGCATTAAATTTTTTCTAAATTGCATGATGACATGAAAATTATTAAAAATGAAAAATGAATACTCACATTTTAGTTTATATGAACCACTGAGTAAATACTTAACTGTTGATAGTGACTTACAATTGATATTGTTGATGATGTAGTTATTAACTCTTAAAGTTAGCTTTCAAAGAGACAGGGAAAGCTCCTTCTGATGCAGGTGGTAAATTGCGCTTGCCCATAGAGACACAGTGCAGTGCTTTCCCTGGAATGATTCATGTCACTGAAAACTGTCTTTAAGACATATCCCTTTAGAGTCTCAGGGTAAGCTACAGCACAGAGATGAATAAGGAGGGAGCTATAACAGAAAGAGGTGAGGGAGACCTAGAGGAAAAGCCTTCCCTAAAAGGTACGTTTTTACATATGTGTCCCCTTCTCGCCAACAGCTACTCGTTTTCCCAACGGTACTTACTGCCCAGCTGCCATGTTCGAGTGTAAAAACCACGTGTGCATACAGTCATTTTGGATATGTGATGGAGATAATGACTGTATCGATGGCTCTGATGAAGAACTTCACTTGTGCTGTAAGAGGGAAAGGGGTGGACTGAATGGAGGTTGTTTTGTCTGGCAAAATCTGCTTGCTCCTTACATGCAGTGTGTGAGTCTGGAGGGCCGTTGTACAGTTCTGAGGTCTGAAACCTGGTCAGTCCCTGCTCTTGCTTTCTCAGGCTATCTGGAGACTTTCAACATTCATGATTTTAAACAATTTCTTCAAGAGAAATCTTACTTGGAAACCCAGAGTGCTTTAAACAGGAGTAGGTCTTTGGCTGAGTCTGAGGAGGGTAAATTGCAGCTCTCCTGCTCCATTCTTGAAGTTCTGTCCCCAAGTCCCTAAAGCCTCCTCAAGTACTTGTAGGAAGTCTGAAGACATAACCCTGACAGCAACTTCTCCTTAGTATCATAATTCTAGGCCATCTAGCTCTCTTTTCCTGTATGACATGTACTTATTTTTTAAAGGAGTGAACTCCAGTTTGTGTACAGGATAAGATAAAATCACATATTCCAATCTCAGGCTTGCTTTAGGTCTACTGAGGCAGAATCTGTAAGGATCTCTGGGAGACTGAGGCCAGTCCGGTCTACATAGCAAGTTCTAGGTCAGCTCGGGCTACAGGGAGATGCTGTCACAAAAAAAGCTCCAGAACTTTTTGGTTTGGTCTCCTGGTTGAGAACTTTTCTTTTAATCATTTTACTAAGTGTTTTGAGTTACTGGAGAAAAGCAAGGGCAGTAGTTCTCACAGTATCTTCCTTGCTGGATAGGGATGTTTATCACTAGGGAATCCTTGCTGGGTTCAAGGGGTCCAGGAATCTATTCATGAGTAAACTTTCCATGTGATTCTGATGTGAGCTGAAGTTTTAAGACTTTATGTTAAGCTCTCAACACGGGAGAAGGAACCTCAGGAGCATTTTTTTTTTTTTTGGAGCTCTTTCTGAGCTCCCATCTGACTTAGGTATAACTTGCTTCTAAAGCTCACATTGTCTCTTCCTTACAGTCTTCTATTCATTTTCAGTGGAGAGATCTGATCACTGAAAATGATATATCAGAATATTTCCTTCCCTCCCTGAGAATGGTAATGAGTGTCTATTGTATTTTCACAATGGTATTCCAACATTTTTCTTGACATTTTCTTTGTTGTTAGTAATTAGCTATGCTTCTTATTTTATTTTTAACTTTATGAACTTTAGGTCTTAAGCATGAAAAATTAAAAAAAAAAACTTAGGAAGTTATTTATCCATAAGACATAATACCCATAGCTGGTAAACTTAAATTTTAGAGAGCTGGGGATATACACAAAGCATGCACACACATATACACATTCATATACTCACAAAAGTGTTCAACAATGTTTTCTTGTCATTTACAACAAATTATTCTTGCAGTAGTTCTACTGACAGTACTTTCAAGAATGATCTGACCTTTTCCCCACAAAGGAGCCTCATTGTAAGTCTTTTCTTTTGGCACAAAGCCCGAAAATAAAAAAGCCCAGGTCCTCCATATGAAAGAGCAGGTGTATTGTGGAATTCACAGTACTATGCATACAGGTGTCTTAGCTTCTTTTTTTTCCGTGATAAAATACTTTCTCTCTTAGCTCACAGTTACAGCTTCCATTCCATCCTGGCAGGAAGTCACAGTGGCAGGAACAGCTGGTCACATTACATCTGCAATCAGAAGAGAGCAACAAATGCCTGCATGCTAGTGTTCAGCTCACTTTTTTGAATTTTATACAGTCCAGTTCCCTTGCTTAAACCATTCCTGCCTTCAGAATGGTCTGCCCACAATTAAGATAAGTCTTACCATATCAGTTAAGCAATCAAGATAGTTTCCCAGAAGGAATTCTCATAGTCCCATCTCCCAAGTGATTCTAACTTCTATCAAGTTGATCATTAGCACTAACCATCACAATGAAGTTTATTGAATTACAGAGGACTGTGTCACCAGTATGATACAATTAAGGGACCTGGGTATTACTCTTGCACTCTTCAGAAGCAAAATGAATCAGTTTGTGAGATACCAATTTTAAATGGAAGCAGTAAAGGAATTCAGCAAAGAAAATTCATCACAGAACAACATTTTATTAAAGACTCAATGACAGTCACAATTAGAAGGATAAAACAGTACCTTCTGACTGCAAGGATAAGAACCCATGTATTGTCCTCCTGGCTTGTCCAGCCTCATGACTACTTTATAAAGGTCTCAGATCTACCATAAGTAAAGCCAATATGTAAATTCAGTTCCTTCTAGAATGAAGTTCCATGAGAATAAGGACTGTGTCTTGAGACTCAAGCTGTGTTTGTCAATTAATTAATCAAATGAATGAATGGTGAATGAAGTGAGGCTGCTGTTATTGCCTAGCCTGGTCGTTTCAGACATTGTCACTTCTACTCTTAATTTGAAATTTTGTTTTCTATCTTTCAGTCAATGTTCCGTGTGACCCACCACATCGTTTCAGGTGTGACAACAGTCGCTGCATTTATGCTCACCAGCTGTGCAATGGTGTGGATGACTGTGGAGATGGAACTGATGAGACCGAAGAGCACTGTAAGGAAGAGGCAACAGGGAGGAAAATCAACATCTATATAATTATATTTTTATTTTTTTGGTCTTTTTGAGGCAGGGTCTCCCTGTAGCCCCAGCTGGCCTGGTACTCACTATGTAGACCAGGCTGACCTGAAAATCACAGAGATCCACCTGCCTCTTTCTCCTGAGTGCTGGGATTAAAGGCATGTGCTACCACACCCGGCCAGATCATTATTTTTAAAAGAACTATAATATATTTAATCCAGATTTTTAGTGTTCTGCTGATCATGGGCAAAAAGGAATCCTGTATATATGAAATACATTCACTTTTTTAGAAAGAGTCACAGGAAATAAAAAGCCTTTGTATTTCTAACCATAAGTTGATGAATATATCTTACTTCTATTTAAAGCATTATAAATTAGTTTTCTTTCACATATCAGTCTGAATAAAAGAAGCAAGATAAATAAATGTACTTTAAAATAGTCACTTCTGGAAGTATATTTAAAATGCCAAGCCTAGGACTTTTCTCCTTAACATTTTGATGAATTGAAAACTGAAATTTAATTTTGGACTCATTCTTCTCACTATAAAAATATTACACATAGAAAATCATATACCGGTTACAATTCTCTTGAATTATATTTGAATTAATACTTAAAATTCATGTTTAAAGTCTTAGTCAGGGCTGAACAAAAGGCAGAGGACCCAGCTTCAATTCCTAGCACCCACATGGCTGCTAACAATCATTCATAACTCCAGTTCCGGGAGATCCAATGCCTCGCTGACCTCCAAGGGCATTGCAGGACACAGGTGTACCTATACACATGCAGGCAATACACTCATTCATACATGGAAAAATAATAAACAAAATATTAAAAAAGTAAAAAAATCAGTTCTTTTGAAAAATGTCTCAGACAGTCCCAGTGTTTTGACATATTTGGGCACATACATCTCTCAGGAACCTAGCAGGCATTTGACCTATTTGCTTCTTGGTTCTAAAGGTTAACCCTACTCAATGTTCCTTTTGAGGCAGCTCTGAGATCTGCCTTGTTTCTTGTTCTCTCTCATGCACCTTTGGATCAGTTCATGGCCACTTACACTCAGGTCATTTAAGAAGGAGAAGGACATTTAGTCCAGTTAAGAGGTTTTACTTGGCCTTTACATTTCAGAACCTTTCAAGCTGAGGCTTCTTCCTGCTTAGGAATTAGATGCAGTCAGGTTTTCCCATACTGCAAAATGTTTGGCTTTTGTTTTCTTGCATTTCTGCCTATACACCAACTAGTTCTGCACTGAACTTCTGTCTTCTTACACACCCTTGCCAGACCCATGAAATGACAGCCCAAGCCCATTGCTAGCATTCTATTCTCTAACCTCTTTCCTCAGAATGTCAAGTTCAGTAAGCACACAATTTGCCTTCCAGCTTTCCTAAGGTGATAGCTTCACCAGATGCTTTGCCATTTCATAACCTGGATCTGACTGATAAGCTGATGCCAAATATTTTAGGTTTTTTATTTGGAAAGATTGTGCTTCTCTCATCACTCTATATTATTCAGGGTAATTAATACTGCTGCAACCAACAAATCCCCCAGTCTTGGTGGTATGACATAACAAAGATTCCTTTCTCATTTGTGTGAAGGACAATATAGCCTGCACAGCATCATCCATCTTGTAGCTGTGCCCCCTAACATACCTGACTTCCAAGTTTAAAGCAGCAGTACGAGAGACAACTTGAAGGCATATGGGCTTTTAATTGCTTCAGTCCTCAGGTGACATATGTCACTTTCAATTCACAGTCCATTGGCTAAAATGGGTCACTCAGTCCCAACCTAGCTGCAAGGGAGCCTGGGAAATGTAGAGAAGCATGCATTTATTAGGTGTGTCATAACTGTTTCCATCACAGAGGGAAATGAAATAATCTTGTTTCACAGAAGAAAAAATTTGACTTTAACTTGTTCTTTAATTACAGGTAGAAAACCAACCCTTAAACCTTGCACAGGAAATGAATATAAATGTAGCAATGGAAACTGCATTTCAGAGCACTATGTGTGTGACAATGTTGATGACTGTGGTGACAATTCTGATGAACTGGGTTGCAGTAAGTAAATATTTATTTTTATATTTCACTATGGCAACTCAGGTTATTTTTAATATTTTTGAGACAGGCAGTGAAATAGTTCAGGCAGGCCTTGAGTGCACTATGTAGCCAAGGATGACCTTGAACTCTTGAACCTCCTTCCTTCACATTGCAAGTGGTAGAATTATAGGTGTGCAGCATGATGTTAAGATATATTGATTTTTAAAGTAAAAGGAAAACTTTGAGTTGGAAGAGTTGATGACCATAATGAAGGGATGAATTTGGTTCCATATTTTATGGAAATACTGGGAGAACATAATAATAGTTCATAACTTTGTAGTCCCTTTGTAGCTCATGAAGTACCTTTATATATGTTTCTTTACTCAGGCTGGCCCCATTGGGAAATTGTTATTTTCAATCTCTATACTGATGCTCAGGAAGTTTTTTAAGTTATGTGTTGGAGAACTTGAGCAGCTATGGGACTCCAGGCTAGAAGAGTGGCCTCTGGGCCCCTCAGGCACCAATTGTGTCACTTTGGCACAGCCTGACACCTTTAAGCCTGGCTCCTTCACAGGAGAAAAGGAGTTCTTCAATTAATTATTATTAGGGGGAGGGGTTTGGCATGCCACAGTGCATGGAAGTCAAAGGACAACTTTGTGGAGTTGGTTCTCTCTTTCCATGTTTACTTGGATTCTGGGGATGGAACTCTGAATGGCAGTCTTGCATGACAAGCAGTTTACTCACTGAGCCATCTCACTTGCCCTCTGAAGGAGCTCATTAAACACTGTGAACCTGAGTTAGTCATCTTAGATAGCTCCATGTGCTTTCGGCTTCTTGGGCATCCAGAGGATTTTGTGGCAATAAATAACCAGCCATACTGAGTTGGTTTGTCTCTTACCTTGCATACCTTCTCATTAGGACTTTGAGTGCTGACAAAATGAAGTGACCTGATTCAATATTTGAAGAGTGTAAACATGGCAGAATTTACAAAGCTGAGTGGTAGTTTGGAGTTCTGATACCTTAAGATTGATATGTGAACAGCTCTACTTGTTTAGAGTATTTCCAAGATAGACTTAGGCCAAACAGTGGTTTCTCTAGTTGCTGTACCTACCTATAAGCATTAAACTTGTTGATAGTACTTTCTAGTCAAGTGGAATTAAATGGAAAGCAGGTTTATTTAAAGGAAATAAGTGACACTTCATGTAGAAGTAGTATCTTTTCAGATATTAAGTAGGCAGATGATGTGAAATTCAGTCCGAATTGAGCTATTCATTTGGCAAAGGCACAGAATTTGTGTTTAGAATACCAGGTCATGGGTGCTGCTAATCCATTGGCCATTTCCTCGCTCCCCTCCATCTCCTTCATCTTCTATAGGATTACTGGCATTTTCAAGATACATGATTCTTACAATTTAAGGTGTGTAGCATGATGTTTTGATATCAGGAGTAAAATGTTACTATAGTCAAGTTAGTACATGTATCATCTGTGTATGAGTGCAGTCAGAGCACCTAAAACATATACAGTTAATAAGTTTCCAGTAATAGAAAGACATTAACATTTCTCTGCAAACTTTAGGGCATAAAAGAAAGCAGTTGATTTCAAGTTGCAGATACAGTTTCTGTAATTATAAAAAGATTGACTTGCTGTTTCTATGATAATTCTTATTCTTTCCCCATAAAATGGAAACTAGAGTGCTATATGCCTGGGTTTGTAGAAGTTAATTGCTAAGCAAGTGTGCTGTCACTGAGCCACATCCCCAGCCATAACATGATTGTAACATGGATTAAAGTATGATTTGCTAGATGTTCCACCTGCTGCTTCCGATCTTCAGATGAAAGAAATTGTATGAAAATCTTCCATTACAAATGCTATGAGATTTCTGCTCTTGTGGAAGACTCTTCTGAAAAATATGACTTGCTTAATGGAAAACTTTCTTCATCCTGGACATCCTAATTACATTATAGACTTTAGAGCTGGGAGAGGATCACAAAGTCCAGTTATACATGATGAAACCTGGAGAGATTATGTGTAAAAAAATAGGATTTTGTTAATCACATTAATGTAGAGAACATGATATTGGAAAGATATTGAGAGCCTTACATGAAAAACTATAGCAATGAACTTGCCAGTGTATGGGAAGTAGACGAATTCATAGACACGGAGCCCTGAAACTGTCCCAAGGAGAAATAGAAAATCGGAATAGTCTTGGTTAGGAATCTGTCATTATTGGGTGCTCACACTGAATTTTCTAAGCTTTCATGAGTATGGTTTTAAAGTATACATTCCAGTGTTGTAGCTAAGGGCATTGCCAGTTATTTTCTTTGTGCATGAACTAATGCATCACTGCATCATAAGAGGTCCTGAAATGTGATTCACATTGCATACTAGACTAGAGAAGACAACAGAGACATGGAAATTTGACCTGAACCAGGAGATTCCACAGTTCCTTTGGCTAAAATACTTGTAATCCTGTGACAAAACACATTTGACCTGAAAGATAGATGAAGCTTGACTTCTTTATGGAAATAAACACTGTTCTCCACCCCCCCCTATTTATCCTCATCTTCCTCAGCTTCCCTGTGGGTTTGGGGTAAGCTGAGGTTGAAGGAAGCCAGCTGGTAAGAATGACAAGAATGAAAGCCAGATGGCTTGGATAGATACTAGCAGGGACCAGATCACAGGACAAAGATGAACAATGAAGTGGCTGGAAGCCAAGCTGTGAAAAGTCCATCTGGAACATCTGAACCACAGAACAGTACAAGAACCTACAAAACAAACCGTTAGTAGCTGACTTTTGCTTAACTGTGAAAGTTATAAAATCAAGGAACACACTAATAATCACAACAGTGCTGGGGATGAAACCCAGGGCCTTGTGAATGCTAGGCAAGTGCTCTATCACCAACTACCGCCTCAGCCCTGCATGAATAGTTTTAAAGTAGTTGATACATACAGATATATTGTAAAATCTCTTCTGTGTATTCTAATTTATGATTCTGTATGTGAAATAGAAAAGTTCTCAGGCAGACACATAACAACTGAAACTATCTGAAGAAGAAATGGGAGTGTGGGGGCTGGAGAGATGGCTCAGCGGTTAAGAACACTGGTTGTTCTTGCAGAAGACCCGGGTTCGAATCCCAGCACCCACATGGCAGCTAACAACTGTCCTTAACTCCACTCCCGGGGGATCTGACAGCCTCTTCTGATCTCTGCAGGCATTGCACAACACAGCTCACACTTGATTTTTATTATAAACTTTCATATATATTAAGGTATATAACATGACTGAGTATCTTACTGTGCTCAGGCCAACACTCTGGCCAATTAATTTGGTCAGTGTTTGGAAAATTGTTATCCTATAACTATCTGTAGTTTTGTCCTAATATCAGCTCATCTATGTATATCTCTATCTGTCTGTCTATCTATCTATCTATCTATCTATCTATCTATCTATCTATCTATCTATCTATCATCTATCATCTATCATGTATCTATCTACCTAGGATGAATGACCAAAGAGTATGGGATGATAGCTGTGGAATCCCTGGCTCCATAGTTCTGGAGTTTAAAGTTAGATGCTCTGAGGATAAGCCTGGCAGTGCTGTGTGTGATGGGAAAATGGCCTTATGGATTTAACATTTTACACATCTGTGTAGCTAATATTCAGGATGTTTACAGAACTCAGGCACAGATTTCAATGGTTTCTGGAAAGGGGTCATCTGAAGGTGCAGGCATTCTTTCTAATATATGTGTTAGTAACGCCTAGGGTTTGTTTTTCAGATGTAGGAGATCAAAGAACATGTGCTGAAAATCTATGTGAACAGAACTGCACCCAATTAAATGGAGGAGGATTTATCTGCTCCTGTGGAACTGGGTTCAAAACTAGTACTTTGGACAGAAACTCCTGTCAAGGTAAATATATTTCCTTTATTTTCTCCATCTATTGTCTTTTTATTAAACCGCTATTAAATTTCCTTAATGGAGCTAACAAAATTCATGGTCCTCAGTCACTCAAATAATACATGAATGTTGAATGGTGAAGGTCTCAGTAATGATGGCTGTTTATTGCACCACTGTGTGAAATAAAACAACCACAAAACTTAATATCAAAAGCACGTATTTATTTCATACCTACGTAGGCAAGGTATAAGTGAGTTCTATGGTGTGGAGTTGAAAGGTGGCTTATGAGGGCTATTGACGAGTGTAATTTTAGGTATTTTTATTATGAATATTATTATGTTTAATTCATGTCATATTCAGATAAAAATTTCTTGGCAGTATTGGGGATTGAACCTAGGACCTCATACATCCTAGGGAAGCCTCTACCTCCAAGCTATAGCCCCAGCCCTTCAGATGGTTGCTAAAGCTGAAGAACTCAATTTAAACCCCTTTTCCTGCAGCTAGTTATCAGAAGAGAGGTGATAGCAGGTATCAGCACTTCAGATGGTTTTGGCAAGCAAAAATTTGCTCTACTATTGTGTGACTCTATGCTGCTTCAGGTTGAGTCCTGTCTTCATTTGGGACTTGGGGTTCAATGATAGTCCATTGAGGTTTTCTTTCAGGGGAGAAAAGATGTTGAAAGCATGTGGCACGGTATTGTAATATGTGTTCTGCGTGCTTTGGCATCATTGCTTATTTTCTTGTGCATTCTTCTTAGTCCCTGTTGCTTGTGAATATGAATTTAGAACCTGGGTCTCTGAGGAATGAGTTGGAATGAGTGTTCCATATTTGATTTTATTTCACCTCAGACATCAACGAATGTGAGCAATTTGGGGTTTGCGCCCAGAGCTGTCAAAACACCAAAGGAAGTTATGAATGTTTCTGTGCTGATGGTTTCACGTCGATGAGTGCCCACCATGGAGAACGGTGTGCAGCTGATGGTATGATGGTTCATGTTGAGAACAAGTTACTTCCAGGGGAAATAAACACTGATGAATATAACATACCAGGAAATGAACTTCCAGTGCTCGGAGTATCAATTTTAATTTGCCAACCATGTCTTGCCTAGTATCTACCTAGTCTCTCTTCTTTGCCCCCTCCTCTTCTGCCAGCTTTAAACACAAACTATAATCCTTTAACAAATATGTAGAATTAAAAGGCAGATATTAGTTACTATTCTGGAGTTAGAGCCTCTTGTCCACTTGGATAAAAAAATTCAAAAAGCAGAAAGATATTGGTCTCAGGAGACTCAAACAAAAGTTTGCAGTGGGATGGCTACCAATCAGAAAGAAATCGGTGAGGCCCACTAGCTCCCAGTCCAGCAAGACCATGATTTGAAGCCATGTAACCCAAGATGGGGACCACCACCAATCTGGGACAAATCCTGGGCATTCCGCTGGCATATCCCTTTGTTATTATTCATGGACGGCTGGCTAGTCACAGACAGGAAGAGTAGCGCATTCTGAATGTCAATCATTTGTTTTACATGTTAGGTTAATGCCTGTACCTAAGTATTATAACCTAGATTTCAGAGAGCCTACCTAAATCAGTAGTTCCCAGCTAAACAGAATATGGCTTTATTTTAAATTTGAAATTGGTACTAGAGTTTGAGAAACTTATTGGGAAAATAGTAAGTTAAGGACAAAGTAGCCAACGTTATCCAATATATTGTATAAATTGAGTGTTTAAGGCATCATTTGACTAGCATACCCCAGAATTTTATCTTCCAAACTTTTGATAATGAATTGAAACCGAGTGAAGACAGTTGAACAGTTGGTCTAGTAATTAAACAGGAAATTTAAAAAAATTTAAATCTTTCAACTAAGGGGATGACTGAAATAAGTTAGAATATTCATATAAAACATAATGTCAAATCTGAGGAACTATATAAAATAAACCTTTAAAAATTTTAAAGAAGCATTTTGGGATGAGTTGCTGTTGAAAGCACTACTTTGGCCTTAAAAAAAATCCTTAAAAATTAAGAACAAGTTGACTTGTTTCTCACGAGTTAGGCGTTAAATTGAGCCACGCTGATGATTACCTGCTAAAACAATCACAAAATCTGTCAGTCAAGAGTGAAGGCTGAGAACTCCCTAGTAAGCTTTGAATGAGATTGTGACTCTCATGTTTCTTCTGTGAAACTGAATATCTAGTCTTGTCAGTGGATATGGGGAAAACTTGTAGGGAAATGAGGACTCTTTTAAAGAACTGGTATGTCCACAGCTATGATTTTGCAACTCAGGGTAGTCAGCTTTGATCAGATTCCTCTAAAACTTGACTTTTAAAAAAGGCGAATGACTGTAATGTTTTTAATGCTTCACTCCTTAAAAGTTCAGGTAGAATTCAGATAGATAAAGCAATCCTTTCCTTGTTCACAGGAAACCCACCTTTGTTGCTCCTGCCTGATAATGTTCGAATCCGAAAGTACAATATCTCATCTGAGAAGTTCTCAGAGTATCTTGATGAGGAAGAACATATCCAGACTATTGACTATGATTGGGATCCTGAGGGCCTGGGTGTCAGTGAGTATTGACTTGTGATCTCACGCAATTGTAACAGTTCTCTAGATCTCAGTTTTTTAATCTATAAAGTATTAGTAATAATTTTGTTCTTATCTGCCCCAAGAGGTGTTTGAAGGTTGAATATGATAATATATCTGAAATGCTTTGTAATTAATATTATGGATTGTAAAAATTATTGCTATGTTCGCATTTATGCAATGCAATATTTTTCTTTTCAACAATAAGCTTTAAAAAATGATACCTATTTAGGAAAGCAATGATGTCCAATATGCTTTAAAATTCAGACTTAATTTGAGTGTGCTAACACACACCTGTAATCCCAGTGCTCAGGAGGTTGAGACAAAAGGATCATGCATTTAGGCCCCCATGAGCTCCATAGCAAGGTCACAATTTTTGTATATATTAAATGTACCTGTTGGATTACCTCTTGGCCTTTTGGCTCAGATGTATACTGTCATCAAAAAGGATTTTTCACCTACATGCCTTTTCACTGTCAATTTCTCAACAGTCTGACCAGGTTTATCTACACATTCTGTTTCGGAGGCTAGGCTTAATGAGAGTAAATAGGCTGTTGACCATAATGTTTTAATGATTTACCCTCCAAAGATGCTTGAGAACACATCGGTTCTACCAGTTGAAGCATTTATAGTTAGTAGCCTCAAGTATGATGTTTTGAGGTTTGATCATATTGATGTAACAGAATTAGTTATATGAAAATGAGGAGGTAGAGATATCAGTAAGTGAACTCCATTAGACCCCAGATCCTCTCTTACTGATGTCCTTAGCATGAAACTGTGCGTTCCTCTCTAGGTGTTGTATATTACACTGTGCGTTCCTCTCTAGGTGTTGCATATTATACTGTGTGTTCCTCTCTAGGTGTTGTATATTACTCTGTGCTGGCACAGGGCTCTACATTTGGTGCTATCAAACGAGCCTACATCCCCAACTTTGAATCTGGTAGCAACAATCCCATTCGTGAAGTTGACTTGGGCCTGAAGTATATAAGGCAGCCAGATGGATTAGCTGTGGACTGGGTTGGAAGGTAAATGTGCCACACATCTCCCTCCTGCCTGTTCTATTTTCTTGATGAGTGCTCTTTTCAGCTCACCGTGGTGCTTATTTTATATTGGTGAACTTAGGAGCTGGCACAGCTCAGCCATGCTTGGATCGTCTCTAGTCCTAGCAACCATCCTTACTTGCCCAGGTGTGCCATACATTGTCCTTTTCTGTACTCTATATCTGCTATGGAAGGTTTTAGGAAAGCACCCAGGTCAAGATTCTGTGTTATGTATGAGAGCTCTCTTGCCACCATAGTTCTGGATTCCAAGATTAACTTTGGGCATGGAAGCACTGTTCATTTTGGGAAGAAATGGGATAGTCTTACAATTCTCTAAGAGTATCGGCTGAGATTAAACATTTCTCTCTATGGTAATTATTTTGGGGGAAGAAGAAGCTACAGTTTTAGTCTGCTAGCTAGCTGCTACTAATTGAAAAGTGATTTGCCTTTCTAATCTTAGGACTGGAGTTAGTAGAGTTGTTGGCTTTGTTCTGTTCTTTTGGATCTTCCAGTCCCTTCTAACTTCAGTGCTTTTAGGGAGGTCAGGCACACAGTTTGGATGATCTCCAATCTTTCTCAGGCCAATGTCTGATATGCAGCCTGGCATGGACATGTTATTTACAAGCCCTTCTTCCAGAAGGAGACTTGAACTGGGACAACAGTGGTGGGGAGTGATTACATGCTCAAGAGATAGGAGATACTATGTCTTTAAAAATGAGTAGTGCGGCTGGAGAGATGGCTCAGTGGATAAGAACACTGACTATTCTTGCAAAAGACCTGGGTTTGAATCCCAGAACCCACATTGCAGCTAACAACTGTCTGTAACCCCAATTCCAGGGGATTCGACAGTCTCTTCTGTCCTCCTCAGGCAGTGCATGACATGGGTGCACTTACCTACATGCAGGCAGTACACACATACACATAAAAAAAAATAACTTCAGGAATGCTCAGCTGCACAAGGTGCAATCTGTATACATGTGAGTGAAGAGTGAGACTACGTTTTTAAAGGTTTGTCTTCCTGAAATAGAATCTCTAACGAACATAAAATAAAATATATAAAAAATAAAAATTAAAAATAAAACAATTAAAAATGAGTACTAGTGGGAAGATGTGTGAGGGTGAAGGCTTGGTGGCTCACTGCCCTCCTGAAGAATGGAGAATCATTTGAAGTACAGATTCCTTCTCCTCTTTTGACAATCTGGTATTCTTGGAAGACTTGAGTTTCTGTGAAAAAGTTAATTGGGTCCCTACTGTGTTTGTAGGCTAACCAGAGACTTAACCTCAGCATTTTTGTCAGGCAACTGCTTTAGAGAACTGTTATAGAAACCTCACTTCCCTTTGAAAGGTAGTGGCAGTGGCAAATCTCTCTTCTTACCTGGTTTTACCTCTTTTTCAGCCTTAATGAATGAGAGAATTAAGAAACTTGCAGAGTTCTTTCTGCCTACAAGGGACTGAGACCTGCAGCCTTAGAAATGGAAATAGGGGCAGGGTGGCCTTGCCCAGCTTGTGGTTTTGAAATGCCTTTTCTATTCATCTTTACTTGATTTCAATGCAGCTCTTTGCCAAGGAGGAAATAGACTTTGGGCAGTCAGAACTAAAGAGCTAACCCGAGATGCCTTAAGATTTCCACCTGGAAGCATGTGTCTCATTAAAATCCAAATGAGAGGCCGGTCCAACTGCTGTGCCCACTGCCAGGGCCAAGCCCAGCTGATTCAGCTACTTTGCTTGATAGGACTGGAGTCCTTCCATCTCTCACTCTCACAGCAGTTCTCACTCTCCCACTCTCCTTCCCAAGGTGACTGAAGAGGAGACGGCATTGACTACAGGCATCTGAGTGTTTCTTGTGCTTGCCAGAACGAACAAACTAAATTTTCTCGTGTTCAGATTTCTTCTCAAATAATTGGTCCAGGATTTCTAAGATTTAACTTTGTCCTTCTAAATTCAGGCATATTTACTGGACAGATGCCAGGAGCCAACGGATCGAGGTGGCTAGACTTGATGGACGGTATAGGAAGTGGCTGATCACCACTCAGCTGGACCAGCCAGCTGCCATTGTTGTGAATCCTAAGCTAGGGTAAGTACTTAAAGTATCTTCAAATGCTCTAGCTTAGACAGTCCTCACTGGATCATCATAAAATTAAGCCTGCAATGATTTTCCTCCAATTGTATTGAAATTGTTCTTTGATTTTTTAATTTTAGAGTGAAAGCTGTAATTGTTTTATTTTTTGTTATATTTTTAATATGAAAAATATTTAAGTTATATAAATGTATACACATAAATATATGATTGAATATTGTCAAACAGAAGTGTAAATAAGAAAAGATTCCCATTTTTCTAGTCACTATTTCCATTGTTTTGGGACAATTTGCATCTTCTATTTTTTAATTTAAAAATATGTTTTATTATTTTTATTTTATATACATGAAGTGTATTACCTGTATGTAGGTAAGTGCACCCATGTCATGCAGTGCCCACGTAGGTCATCCAGTCCCTTGGAACTTGAGTTACAGATGGTTGTTAGCTGCCATGTGGGTGCTGGGAATCAAACCCAGGTCCTCTACAGAACAGCCAGTGCTCTTAACTGCTGATCCATCTCTCCAGCCCCTGCTTCTCCTATTCTTAACATCCTGGATAGATTCTTAAACTCATAACTACTTCCTGATTAGTCAGGAAGACTGGTAGGCTAGAGTAACAAATAAACCTTAATATCTCAGTGGCTTAGCACATCAAAAGTTTAAATAAGACCAATAATTTCTCTCTCTCTTTCTCTCTCCCTCTCTCCCTTTCCCCCCTCCCTCTCCCTCTCCCTCTCCCTCTCCCTCTCCCTCTCCCTCTCCCCCCCCCCCCCCCCCCCCCTTTCCTCTCTCTGAAAGGATCTTACTCTGTAGCCCAGGCTAGCCTCAAACTCACAGCAGTTCTCTTGCCTCAGCCTTCCATGTGCAGGCATGAACCACCTCACTTGGCTTTCACAATATATTTTTGGAAAAAAAGAAATGTATTTTGAATTTTTTTGAATGTGTTGAAAAGTAGTCTCTTGATTGAAATTCACCTAGAGGTTTGGTTGTATTTCACTGGACATAAACATTTATTTCCAAGATATGAAAGACATGCTTTCACATATATATTACTTAATTATAGAAATACTATACCTACAAATCACCTCGGTGCCCCTTTTCTCTAGATTTTAGACATTTATTTGGATATTTAGCCTCAGAGTATTTCCGCTGTGTGGGCAGTACCAGTATGGCTCTTTGTAGCTATATCAATATTTGTACTTGAAACATTATGAGCTATTATTACTTTGACTCTGTTGACCTCCATATGTTAAATCATGTCCCTAACATCAACAAGGATGCTTGGAATGTGCTTGTCTGAGAGGATTAACCTCTAATGTGGACTTGACCTCAACATCAAATTTTGTTGTTTCTTACATATCTTAGATGTAAAGACAGGTCTTTCTCCAGTGACATATAGAAATTGTTTTACTTAGCACTTAGGAAAACTGTTGGTTTCACTGCTGGAAATGCTCTGCGTGCTGCAGCACCAGGGAAACACTTTTAGGTGACACGATGCTTCAATGAGGAACATTTCTGTTACAGGCTTATGTTCTGGACTGACCAGGGAAAAGTACCTAAAATCGAGTCTGCCTGGATGAATGGTGATCATCGCAGCGTTCTGGTTACCGAGGACCTTGGCTGGCCAAATGGCCTTTCCATAGATTATGTGAATGATGACCGGATCTATTGGAGTGACTCCAAAGAAGATGTTATTGAAACGATAAAATATGATGGGACTGACAGGAGAGTCATTATAAATGAAGGTTAGAAATGAGTTATAACTTATAGATGAATAATTGCATAACATATTTTCAATGCCTTTGCCAGTTTTCCCAAGAAGGAACCCTGATCTTAGGATATGGTTTCTATAGTTCTTCAGATTCTTGCCCTTCAATTCCCAGATGCTAAATTAAATTAAAATGAATTCATAGCAATAATAACCAAGATTTCTGTTAAGCTGATCTGAAATGGTGTTTATGCATACCCATGCTTCTAGACCCATTCATTTTCCATGTGCTAGATGTCTCCTTATGAATAAATGGAAACATCTAGAAGGAAATGAGAATTTTATTTTCTTGTCCAAAATTTGAAGAACTGCAGTAATCTAGCACAAAACACACTTTTAAAATTTATCAGTATGGTTTTATGTTCAAAGGGGAGGGGGATCCAAAAATCTCTTTTAAACAGAGTGTTTTTTAAAAAATGAAATAAAAGCAGCTGGGCGTGGTGGTGCACACCTTTAGTCCCAGGGAGGTAGAGGCAGGCGGATCTCTGAGTTCAAGGTCAGCCTGGTCTGCGTGCTGTGTTCCAGGCCAGCCAGAGGGACCCTGTCTCAAATTTTTTAAAAAAATTAATTAATTAAATAAAAAATTAAATAAAAAGTAAAATTAAATTAAAAATAAAAAATAATTTAAAAAATTAAAAAAAATTTTTAAAAAAGGAAATAAAAGCAACTTGAAAAGTCAGACAGTTTATAGTAGACCACTTGAATGCTCAATTCATCACTTACAGAAAGTTTGCCTGAATATTCCTGGAGTTTCAACGTGTCAGGGGTTAATCAAACAGAATGACAGCAGACACAGAAGTAGCGGTAGGTATTGTTTCATTAACTCTTTTGTTTCGTTTCTCCGCTATTGGTAAACAGCAATGAAGCCTTTCACTCTGGACATCTTTGAAGACCAATTATACTGGGTAGCCAAGGAAAAAGGAGAAGTGTGGAAACAAAACAAATTTGGGAAAGGAAAAAAAGAGAAAGTGCTGGTAGTGAACCCTTGGCTCACTCAAGTTCGGATCTTTCATCAGCTGAGATACAATCAGTCAGGTAATCACAAGTCTTGGAATGAGATGCTCCTCATGAACTGGAAGGCTTATTTCAAAATAAAGGCTCTAGTGTGAGTAGATGATAATAGGCTATTCTTAGTGCATGAAGGGGTGGGGTTGTATGTGTACATTTGTGTGGGTATGGGTGTGGGTGGATGGGTGGATGCATTAACCATTTCCACTGAAGAAAGATAACCATAGGTTGAGTGAAATCATGAGCAGGAAAAATAATTAAAAATGTTTCAGTTTTTTTGAAACTGTCTCCCTGTAGCCCCAGCTGGCCTGGAACTCACTATGTAGACCAGGCTGGCCTGGAACTCACAGAGATCCACCTGCCTCTGCCTCCCAAGTGCTGGGACCACAGGTATGTGCCACCACACCCTGGAGTTGTATATTTGTAGGCCACAGAGTTTAGCAGGCATCAGATCCCTGCATTAAGAAATCACAAAATGGGTTTCATGAACATCAGAAGTCTTGTCCATTCTTAAAACGGCAAGACAGGGCTACTCTGATTACCCTAAGACGTGTGCGCCTTAGCCTAATTGTAGCCCCCTTCTCGACCCTTTCTTGCTTGTGCAGCACTTAGTCCTGCCTCCCCGGGTTGTCTGTGCTCTGGTTCACGCTTCAGCATTGTATGTCGCAAAGATGGGAGGGAAGGGACGGTTTTGAAATGAGGAAAGAAAATGGCTTTTACTGTCTGCATGCCAGATTCTTTCTTCAGCATTAACCTGGCATTTGCTGCTTCCACTAATCTCCTTAAAAAGAAATTTTAAGTCTGGGAGCAGTGGCCCACATCTTCAATTCCTGAAATAGTTGGATCTCTGAGTTCAAGGCAAGTCAGGTCTACGAAGCAAGTTCCAGATCAGCTATGGCTATGTAGGGAGAGCCTATCTAAGAGAGAGAGAGAGAGAGAGAGAGAGAGAGAGAGAAGAGAGAGAGAGAGAGAGAGAGAGAGAGAGAGAGAGAGAGAGAGATAATAACTTACGTTCCTAAGTCATGTAACTAATGGATGAACTTTAAACTCATAAATGATTTTCAAGTTTAATTCTACCCAACCGAAAGCTCAGTGTCTTTCTCATTTGATTCAGTAATCAGCAACCAGGTTCTGGCTGAATTTTGCTGCAGTGTAGCCTTTGACAAGTCATTTCCATCTAATCCTTAAATGTGAATCAGGGACAGAGTCCATGGATTTCCTGAGACCCTGAATCAGCCTTGGGAAATTATATCTCAGAGCTGAGACTCTCAGGAGCATTAACACTGGTGGTAAATGCCTGTTCTAGGGATTCTGGTAGTGATCCACTCTTCCCAGCTTGTCTCCTGAACACTCCAGACTCTATCAGTGTACTAGCTCTGTGTCCTAAGTGAGTGTGGCTCTCATGACCTAGTGCCCTCACCCCACAAAGAAGGCAGAACAAAGTCTGGGACTTTTGTCAGCTGAAGCGCTAGTCCCTATTGGAAAGTGGTTGTTGAGATAGAACCCATCTCAGATATGCTAGTTAACATTTGGTCTGGATCCACAGTCCTCAGATTTTACCATACACTGCAATCCAGGTGCTAAGAACTACCCTCAAACTTCTAAACCAGAATCTGAATTTTATACAGATTCATAGGTGATTTGTATCACATTAGAATTTGAAATACTCTAGGAAGCTGGCAAAATGGTTAATGGGACAAGTTTTGAGTGATGCCTTTGGATAATGTCTTATTATTTTATAGCTGTGTTATGGTTGTGTTTTGAATGACTGAGAATCAGGATCACAGACTGTTAGTCTGAGGAAAAATTTAGAGAGCATATAAATCTAATGTAACTTCTTAGGTCCCTCATAATTCATGCCAGTGAAGAATTCAGATTCTAGGATTACATGAGTCTTTTTGTTTGTTTATGTTTTTGTTTTTTTGATACGGGGTCTCCCTGTAGCCCCAGCTGGCCTGGAAATAATTTCATGACTTGATTAAAAGAACAAAATTAAAAATTTCAAGCATTCTTTTTTTTAAAGAAAGGGTCTCTTTATATACCCAGCTGACCTGGAACTTTCTAGGGAGACCAGGCTGGCCTTGATCTCACATAGATCCACCTAATTCTGCTGAGATCAAAGGTGTGCACCACCATGCCTGGCTATGAGTAGTTAATGATTATAGTTGAGCCCCATCCCAACTTAATGTTTTGAGTAGCTCCTAGCTGATTCTGGTGAATCAGCTGTAAATGTTCTTTTCTTGCAAATGAGGATACTGAAATCCAGAAGAAAATTCTCTTTGGAAGGTTGGGGTAGAAATCTTATCCAATATGTGCTTTGGATGGACTAGATGTTGTAACCCACCTGGATTTGGGTAATGTCAAGCCTTGATAGACTATTTGGGATTTTTGTTTATTTATTTGTTTTGCTTTGTTTTTTTGGGGGGGGGGCAGTGTCTCCCTGTAGCCCTAGCTGGCCTGGAACTTGACCAGGATGGCCTTGATCTTACAGAGATCCACCTGCCTTTGCCTCCCAAGTGTGGGGATTAAAGACATGCTCCACCATACCCAGCTCTTGAAAACTATTTGGTAATGTTTTTTTTTTTTTTTTTTTTTTTTTTTTTAAAAAAAAAAAAAAAAAAAAAAAAAGAGGACGATAAATCTTTCACTGTGATATATCAAAATAA